CCACACCTAGGAGTTTCCTCAAGTCAGCAGTATAAGATTCATGGCGGTCATTTCATAACTTGTCAGATGGGCGTTAGCCATGGGTATATAATGTTTTATGTCTGGTAGCAGCTCTCCATTGCGTCCCAAAACAAACTACAGCTTGTTAAAAATTGCGACCGAAAGCTAAACTAAAAAGCAGAACTTTCCAAACCGAAAACAAACAAACAAGCATGACTTCACCATTGCCACCGCGCCGCACCACTGTCTGTGCAGCTCCCCCCTCCGAAGGAGGTGGGAGGAGGAGCACCAGACCCCATGTGCCAGCTATCCAACCCCAGTTCTACGGCTGATGTGTTGAATGGCGGTCGTTCGAGTCTGGCTCCAATCTTTGAACAGTGCTGTGCCTTGTGGTGTTGTGCTGCAGTGTGGTATGCAAGCCAGGTGTAATTCCAGAAGTACTAGGGCTGCATGCGCCTAGGGTCACCTTCCATAAGTGCCCTGAAAGTACTGACCTTGCGGTTTGGGGTTAACTTCCACAAACTGTTCAGGAACTACCTCCGCAGAGTTCTTTTGCTGCTTGGTCATTGCCCACCCTTGGGGTCAGCTGGGGCTTTCTTGCCACTGTTTGACCTTGGGTAGGAGGTAGTATCATCACTAGCAGGCTAACCCCGTTCGGTTTGGTGGTGGAGACATTCGAGCCAGTCCCTCTTGCCGGGGCTTTTGGGTCGGACCAGCGGACCCCCTTCTTCCCAGCTTTTTCGGTGGACTCTGCTTTTTCTCCAGAGGCAGAGGGTGTGGAGGATGGCTCTGCCCCTGGTCCTGACATGGAGGTTTCCCGGGGCTGGGGAGAAGTTGACTTTGGGGGGCTTGGGCCCCATTTGACCCTGCTTCTTGTTGCAGGGGTAGGGGTTTTCTTATCCCCCTTCTGTACGAGTTTGATATGAGTTCGGCTCCTCCTCCCCGGGTTCAGTTCCAGGTTCTCTTGGATTCCCTAGGTTCCCTCTTTCCGGAGGTTTTTTTGCTTCCCGCATCCCACCTAAGGAGGTTCGGGTTGCTATTATGTCTTGCCTCCTGCGAGATCAGGATTTTGCCTTGACAATAGATCCTTCTTCAGAGTTTGGTTCCTCTTTTCCTTACAGGGTGCATTACAAGGTGCCAGATTCTTCCTGGTTGGCAGACTGCTCTTTCTTTTCACTAGGAGCATGGCACGCGTTCTGTTGTACCCGCACGCTTGAGTGGTGGGAAACTATTACGGTGGTTCAGATTTACCTGAAGGGCGAGTTTGAGCACCTGGCACCTCAAACACTGTAAATGGTCAAAATTTAGTATTTTTGCACATCATCAGATTTGTTGCATGCTGCTTTATTTCATTATTAAATACTAAAGGTGTTGTGATATTACTCTATATACACAAAATATTGACTAATTTTCTGTCCATGCCATACATGTCTCATAATATTTCTTAGTATTTTTGGTGATCCACAATTTTTTGTTTGTTTATATATACAGTACTGTTAAAAAATGATTTTATTCCTTAAATTAGGGAAAGTGGAATCAGGGGGAAAAGGGGAAAGTAAAGGCATCCCTTGATTTGTGTGGCATTGGATAATGTAAATTTATTAGTATGTTGGTAAGCACTTTTATATTAAATTTCAAAGTATGCTAATGGATTTTGACAGTATACGGGTTGAGCATGTATTATTGAGGTATAATTCACTGGTCTTGGCTTTCACACGTGCTACATTGTTGTATTTTCCAAATTTTGGGATTATATTCTTGCATTGTTTTACATTCTAAGCATTCTGGACTTATTATGTGCTGGTTTGTGTCTTTAAGTGATATTAAATTTGTGACTTAAGAACATTAAATATTAATTTACATATAGGCCTTATATTCCAAAAGGGGCAGAAAAAGTGGACTAATGGTAGTGTCTGGAATTGGATCGGATTTTTCTCATACATCATGTACCAGTAGTTTGATGTGCACAGCTTTTGATTTATGTTCTTTATGAGAAGGTAACGTAAAGACAAATTGAGGATAGCCCATATGATCAGAAGTCATGTTTGAAATTCAGGAATAACTACTGTTGCTGACGTCAGTCCATATAAAATGTATTGTAAATCTCTGTCCACTTTACTCCGTCAGTTTTTATATTTTGACTATAGGCATTGGAATAGTTTGTGATCTGGAGGAAGGTTAAAGTGCTATAAATATATATATACATGGTCAATACCAATAGTGGCTTTGGGGAGGAAGGATTCCTATGACTTTCTTTTAGAGTATTTGCATTGGCATTTAAAATTCCACTGAGAGAAAATATAAATTTTATAGTCATTATATTATGGAAGGCCATCATCTCAGAAGGCCTACAACTTCCTCCTCATATGTCCTGCTGCTCCATTGCCTGTGATGATACTATTGTTAAATTGTCACACTAGAATTGATTATATTGTACATATTCTGAATAAAGTTTATTATTCAAAGAGTTTTTCATCATATGCATCGTTTATTCGACAGCAGTGTACAGTTTTTTTTTTTTACTTATGCTATACTGTAGTGGTGAATGTTTACTTTCAATCAGTACTGCATTGCTAAATAAGGCACAGTGAGGAGAAGGAATGAGAATGGGCAACGTCTGCTAGAACTCTGCTGCCTTCATGGTCTCTGTGTCACCAACACGTTCTTCGGCACAAAGCCTCAACACCGAGTCTCTTGGAGACACCCCAGATCCAAGCACTGACACCAGCTTGACCTGATTCTTACCAGGCGTGCAAGTCTACCCAGCATTAAGATTACGCGTAACTACCAGAGTGCTGTCTGTGACACCGACCACTCCTTGGTATGTAGCAGGGTCAAGATGTAAACAAAAACGATTCATCACTCAAAAAAGGAGGGCAAGACACCACCAAGATCCGCAACCAGGACAAGGTGGAAGATTTTGCACATGTGCTCAAGGAAGCTCTCTCTGGCCCAGCCAAGGTCACCACCTGTAAAAGATGGGAGCACTTCAGAGACTTTGTTTGTTTGTTAGGTGCTGTTTGCCCCTTTCCCTCCCTGTTCCCGGCTCCTGACCGTCTGCGTGTTTCGGGGTCGGGGCGGGCTAGGTTTAGTCGGTGCCAAGACTCAGGGGGTTTTGGGGCTGCCCCGTTCGGGTTGGGGACGGAGGTTTTCGAGCCTGTTCCTCCTGCCAAGGTTTCTGAGTCTTACCAGCGACCCTTTCTTTGCTGCCTTTCCCCTGGACTCATTCTTTTCTTTAGGGGGCAGAGGGCGTGGAGGACGGCTCTGCCCCGGGGCCTCTGTTTCGGGTATCCGGGGCTGTGGGGGATGCCCACTAGCAAAGCGGGCAAGTCAGTCCACTTGTCTGCTCGCCAGGGGTGTGGTTCTTTCCAGATCGCCGGGTTCGGGTTCTTGGTGCCCTGGAGGCCATTCCATCTGGTTCTGTCCCGTGTTCGGTCCTGGCTGGGTCTTGTTTAAGACTGTTGGATTACTTCTTTGTCCCTCCCTCCACAGGCATTGCTGCGGCTGCGGTCCCGCCTTCGGCTGTTTCTGAGGGTGTCCTGGGTCACTCGGCGGTTGCTCGAGCGGTTGAGTTGAAGGTCTGAACTTCGCCGTGCTGGTCGAAGGTTTGACTTCGCTGGGTCGGGTTTGACTTCAGCGTCTGTTTTGGTTCCTTTAGGGACTCCCCCTTCCGCCTCTCTTGCGATCGTTGGATCCGTCCTCTGGGGACCTTGTGTTGGTGCTGCGTCACCGGCTTCCTCTTTGGGGTTTTCGGGGTTCCGTGATTTGGCGCCTCCCTGAGCCTTCACTCGATGTTTTCACGGACGGGTCGTCTCTCGGCTGGGGCTTTGTGACCAGTGCTCACCAGGCCGGCCGGGAACAGTGGGGGTCCATCCTTCAGTCGGGCTCACAGCATGGTTCGGGATTTCGTGGCTGTCTGGTTGCGCTTCGGAGGGTTCGGGTAACTCGGGGCTCTACCATCCGGCAACATTCGGACTGTTCTCCGGTGGTTCATTGCGGGAACCACAATGAACCACAAACAAACCACAAAATCAAGAGAGCTGTGAGAGTACTAACCAATCAGGGAAGAGTCGTCAAATTTCTGTGGATCCCTTCCCATGTTGGAATCTGTGGAAATGAACGACCAAATGTGCTGGCTGCTGAAGGAGACCATATTGAATACTGCATACCCAAGACTTCTACAAATTAGAGGTATCATCATGCAATATCACCGCGACAATTAAGGTAACTGAAGAAAGGAGGATAGAAGAACAAATCAGTGAATCTATGCTGGTACAACATGGTTGCAGCTGGCAATCCCAATCAATATGGACGAAGAGAAGGAGGCCGCGGGAGCTAATTATTAATAGCAAGAATTCGTTTTGGATACAAATATCCATGGAGATTTTTGATGGAAGCAACAGTTGAGAAGCGAATTAGCTGCAGAATTTGCGGGGAGAGTGAAGGACATCGCCTTGACCATTACCCGAGAGAATGTGGACATCTAAGAGACATTAGAAATATGTGTAGAATAATAAACCCCACATTGGTTGAGTTAAGAAAATACTATTTGTCAAATATAGATACTGTTATTAAAAGATTCCCCCATTTTGCACCCGCAAGATAACGTAAGATTTTAAGGGTTGACGAATGTTAATCTTTGAGAAGATTGTTAGTTTGAGAAGCTGTTCACTTGAGATAGTTAAGCAGGTCCCAGCTGTGTCTGGGTACAAGTGACAGGATGAACAACCCAGCGGGTTTTCTTCCTATTGGGGAGTGTTGTACATGCTGCTATAACGCTGTGTCCACTGGATGTGTGGCGCTGCCCAATAAACTCCCCCGTCGAGGCAAAATTACAAAAAAAAAAAATGTGCTTTACAATTGACACAAACACAATCAACCCACCTAACCTATCGAGGCCGAGGCACTGAAAACGTCAATATTGCGATGCTTTACAAATAGTTAAGTATTTTAAGAGACTAGTGGAATCCATAAAGAATGCAAGGTGTGGGTGGCCACCACCCACCCCCACCTCCACCAGCGCCGGTGGCCTCAGTAGTGAGGGAGGGGTGGAGGAGTCACCACTGTACCGTAGAGACTGTTGCTAGGGTCCGGCCAGACACCACTCGCCACCCCGGCCACTGTCAACAGGGCGGACAGCTGGGACCTCCTCAGTCCTCCCACGGCTGCCTCACCAACAATCTAAGCGCCATACACGGTAAGAGAAGGTATACCAGTGTTTTATATCAAACATATATAGGTTATCAGTTTACAGAGATAACATTTGTATAAGAAGCGCCAAGCTGATGCTTAAGCGCGCACACGAGTGTACACAGGTGTGTACGACAAGAGTGTACACAGGTGTGTACGACACGAATGTACACAGGTGTGTACGACACGAATGTACACAGGTGTGTACGACACGAATGTACACAGGTGTGTACGACACGAATGTACACAGGTGTGTACGACACGAATGTACACAGGTGTGTACGACACGAATGTACACAGGTGTGTACGACACGAATGTACACAGGTGTGTACGACACGAATGTACACAGGTGTGTACGACACGAATGTACACAGGTGTGTACGACACGAATGTACACAGGTGTGTACGACACGAATGTACACAGGTGTGTACGACACGAATGTACACAGGTGTGTACGACACGAATGTACACAGGTGTGTACGACACGAATGTACACAGGTGTGTACGACACGAATGTACACAGGTGTGTACGACACGAATGTACACAGGTGTGTACGACACGAATGTACACAGGTGTGTACGAGAGGCGGCAGCATGCTGCAGACTCTCAACCTGAACCTATATATTTTATATATATATATATATATATATATATATATATATATATATATATATATATATATATATATATATATATATATATATATATATATATATATATTTATATATATATATATATATATATATATATATATATATATATATATATATATATATATATATTTTATATATATATATTTTATATATATATATATATTTTATATTATATATATATATATATATATATATATATATATATATATATATATATATATATATATATATATATATATATATATTACAACGTTTCCTTGAAAGGCAGATTCTTTGGCTAACTCATAAGCTCTATCATGCATTCAGAGGCCAATATGAGATGGCGTCTACATGAAATGGGCTCTGTTACCATCGTTAATAATTTTGTTGTATTCGTGTCTAGCTTTAGACACGAGCATGTTAGTTATGTCTTAAAGAGTTGAGAGCAATTAAGGATGATAGAAGAGTCACTTACAATTAATGTATCAAGTTTGGAGACTTGTACACATTTCAGTGCAAGAAGCAAGGCAAATAGTTCGGTCTGAAGGGCAGAGGCCCCCAGTTGTTTATACGGACTCCCCACTCAAAGTATAAGACGGTATATTGAGATTCTCTAAATATACTCACGCTGTGAGCGGTAGTTTGTTGTGCACCCCATACTCACGCTGTGAGCGGTAGCACAGAGCATTACATAAGCTACGACAGGCCCTTGTCAACCCCAGTAGATGTTATTGTACATATGAACAGTAGCTACAGTGAGCGGGGTCTAGTGTACAGTGCTTGCCTCCCGGAGCGCCTCTGACCCGTCACCGTAGCACCCTCTACCAACCTCTTAAATCTCTGGTGTTTCATACGCAATATTTCTAATCTTATCCAAGTTAGGGTTAACCTTAGCAGCGCCTTCCTGTTATATAATACAGTAAACAAAGTGTTGGGGCGGCACTTATTGAGAAGCGCCCAGAGTCTCCCAGAGATCAATTAAACCAAACTTTAATCCAAATGTCTGAAGTTAAGAGATTAAAGCCGACCACATGACCTTAAGACCCGTGACTCCTGACCTTTAACCCCCATGGAAAAACCCCGGAATGATACCTGTGTCTTGTAGTATTGAGCAGTCTTCCTGAAGGGCACAGGTGAGGGGACACAGTACAGGTGAGAGGGGGACACACAGTACAGGTGAGGGGGACACACAGTACAGGTGAGGGGGACACAGCACGGAGCACGGAGAATCATACTTGTTGTCATACTTTCCCATACGCGGTGTATACCATACACGTCAGAGCTCTCCGGCCTTCACCATGCACTTCCTGGTGCAGCGGTGACACAGAGCACAGAGTGCGTCAGTACTCTGACGCACTCTTGGGAAAAGCACTCAGCTTAACACTGGATGAAGGACACAAACTGAGTAGCAAATGAGAGAGATGGAATAGTTTGCGCCGTTTCTGAAGGCGCAAACTGTACCACAGTACAACAGTACACACGTGTTCTCCAGCAAGACCAGGATATAAGCAGTAACCTGTGTGTGACAAACATGGTATTTGCAGAGGTTGATAGGAGGAGGAACCAGGCAGAGCTGGAGACATGTCTGCCACGGTGAAGGTGCTCAACCTGGTGGAGGCGTGTGGCGTGGGGACTGGCGGGCCCTCACCCGCCCTGGTGGAGGCGTGTGGCGTGGAGACAAGCGGGCCCTCACCCGCCCTGGAAGTCTCCCAGCTGCTGCAGGCGGCTATGCTCAGGTACTCACTACACTCCCCTGGCTGCTGTAGCATGACACTCGTCTCTTATATGAACATTTACTGCTAATCATTGGTGATCATTATAATAAGCTGTCATTGTAGCCGACATTGTCTCTACAGGCTCACCAACACCTTCCTGGATGACGTGAAAGGCACTGTTGATTATGTGGCACTCAGGCACTCGCAGGAGTACAGGTGAGTGCTTCACTTGCTCCTCGCTACAGGTGAGGGGGGACAATACAGGTGAGGGGACACAATACAGGTGAGGGATGAGTGACGGGCCTCACACTACACTGTGCCCCACAGGGAGTACCGGACCCTGGCCACCAGACTGCAGGAGGTGGATGTCTCTACTCTGGACGACAGCGAGAAGAAAGCCTTCTTCATCAGTATCCTTTTGTTCACTCATGTTCACAACGGTAAACAATATATATAATTAAGTAACTAGGATGGTCGAAGATTTGAGCTGAGGGCCCGCGTGTAGGAGCCCGTCGCTCTAGCAACTGAGCCGCGAGGCCCACAGACTCCTAACGTACTTTGTATTATTTCAAGACAAGGAATTATGTCTCTTATGAGTATCCCATACTTCTGAGACCCTTATTGTGAGCAGCCTGGTATGGTGACGGCCTAGTGAGCACTCTAGTACGCACTAGGGGTGCATGCCTGCACTAGGGGTGCGTGCCTGCACTAGGGGTGCGTGCCTGGTGGTGGTGGTGTGACGGGCACCACACCGTCACTATACACTGCCTTCAGCACTTACCATCTTCGCTACCCACCTTCCCTACCCTTCACAGTATTGTTGCCTGCTTGTTGGAGTAGCAGCATTGCATATGTTTATTTCCCTTACACTGACGGACGTGTAGACGTGTACAACGCCCTGACGATGGAGAGTGTGAGTCAGCTGGAGGAGCTGCCGGCCTCCACCCTGGAGGTGGACCACTTCTGGACCTCCTCCGCCTACCTCATCGGTCCCCACTCCTTCACCCTCGACCAGATTGAGCACGGCATACTTAGAGGTACATGTCTGGGGTATGTGGCTTGTAGTACCTAGAGGTACATGTCTGGGGTATGTGGCTTGTAGTACCTAGAGGTACACGTCTGGGGTATGTAGCTTGTACCCAGCGGTACACGTCTGGGGTATGTGGCTTGTAGTACCTAGAGGTACACGTCTGGGGTATGTGGCTTGTACCCAGAGGTACACGTCTGGGGTATGTGGCTTGTAGTACCTAGAAGTACACGTCTGGGGTATGTGGCTTGTAGTACCTAGAGGTACACGTCTGGGGTATGTAGCTTGTACCCCGAGGTACACGTCTGGGGTATGTGGCTTGTAGTACCTAGAGGTACACGTCTGGGGTACGTAGCTTGTACCCAGAGGTGCACGTCTGGGGTATGTGGCTTGTACCCAGAGGTACATATGTGATGCTCTATGGTATGTGGGTGATGCGTATGAACTATTTAGAGCAGTGTTATCCAAACACAAGCTACTGAAAAACAGTTCAAGCAAACTCAAATGCAATTAGCTATGTAATGTGAAAAATGTTTCCATTATACACAGGGGATTTGGCGGTTAGGTTAACGATCATTGAGTCATTGTTTGTGAAGTCTGGTTGCTGGCTTGACATAGGCACAAGGATGACGCTGTCGCGATCAATCAGATCCAAAAGTGATTCCATGCACCCGCCGAACCCCAGCTGTTTATGAATTAAAAAACGGTTTACACACGACTCACAACTGATGAAGTTCGAACACTTCCGGAACAAGTGCTTCACTGACGAATTTTGTTCGAACCACAACGCTGTAAATGCTTCACCCACCTAGTACAAATAATTGCCAACAGAACCTAAACACCTAACCTATGCCTATATATGCACAATATGCTATTATAATAATTTATATTTGAGAAAATTCCCGTTTTGAATGAACACCATGAACAAATTTATGAATGCGTCTGTGGGGTCGACCGCTGGATGTAATGGACTTGAGTCGAGGACGGGTTGCATAAACAGGGGCTTGGCGGGTGCACAGAATTACTTTTGGGTCTTCGTTTAGAGGACGAGCCGACACATGACTCGCAACTGATGACGTCCGAACACTTCTTACTGACACTGGTGTGTGTGTGTGTGTGTGTGTGTGTGTGTGTGTGTGTGTGTGTGTGTGTGTGTGTGTGTGTGTGTGTGTGTGTGTTGCTGCTACTGACACTGGTGTGTGTGTGTGTGTGTGTGTGTGTGTGTGCTACTAATACTGGTGTGTGTGTGTGTTGCTGCTACTAATACTGGTGTGTGTGTGTGTTGCTGCTACTGACACTGTGTGTGTGTGTGTGTGTGTGTGTGTGTGTGTGTGTGTGTGTGTTGCTGCTACTAATACTGGTGTGTGTGTGTTGCTGCTACTAATACTGTGTGTGTGTGTGTGTGTAATACTGGTGTGTGTGTTGCTGCTACTAATACTGGTGTGTGTGTGTGTGTGTGTGTGTGTGCTGCTACTGACACTGGTGTGTGTGTGTGTGTGTGTGTGTGTGTGTGTGTGTGTGTGTGTGTGTGTGTTGCTGCTACTAATACTGTGTGTGTGTGTGTTGCTGCTACTGACACTGGGGGGTGTGTGTGTTGTGTGTGTGTGTGTGTTGCTGCTACTGACACTGGTGTGTGTGTGTGTGTGTGTGTGTGTGTGTGTGTGTGTGTGTGGTGTGTGTGTGTGTGTGTGTGTACTCACCTATATGTACTCACCTATATGTGCTTGCATGATCGAGCATTGACTCTTGGATCCCGCCTTTCGAGCATCGGTTGTTTACAGCAATGACTCCTGTCCCATTTCCCTATCATACCTGGTTTTAAAATTATGAATAGTATTTGCTTCCACAACCTGTTCCTGAAGTGCATTCCATTTCCCCACTACTCTCACGCTAAAAGAAAACTTCCTAACATCTCTGTGACTCATCTGAGTTTCAAGCTTCCATCCATGTCCTCTCGTTCTGTTACTATTCAGTGTGAACATTTCGTCTATGTCCACTCTGTCAATTCCTCTGAGTATCTTATACGTTCCTATCATGTCCCCCCTCTCCCTTCTTCTTTCTAGTGTCGTAAGGCACAGTTCCCTCAGGCGCTCTTCATACCCCATCCCTCGTAGCTCTGGGACGAGTCTCGTTGCAAACCTCTGAACCTTTTCCAGTTTCATTATATGCTTCTTCAGATGGGGACTCCATGATGAGGCGGCATACTCTAAGACTGGCCTTACGTAGGCAGTGTAAAGCGCCCTAAATGCCTCCTTACTTAGGTTTCTGAATGATGTTCTAACTTTTGCCAGTGTAGAGTACGCTGCTGTCGTTATCCTATTAATATGTGCCTCAGGAGATAGATTAGGTGTTACGTCCACCCCCAGGTCTCTTTCACGCGTCGTTACAGGTAGGCTGTTCCCCTTCATTGTGTACTGTCCCTTTGGTCTCCTATCTCCTAGTCCCATTTCCATAACTTTACATTTGCTCGTGTTGAATTCTAGTAGCCATTTCTCTGACCATCTCTGCAATCTGTTCAGGTCCTCTTGGAGGATCCTGCAATCCTCATCTGTCACAACTCTTCTCATCAACTTTGCATCATCCGCAAACATCGACATGTAGGACTCTACGCCTGTAAACATGTCGTTAACATATACAAGAAATAGAATTGGTCCCAGCACCGATCCTTGTGGTACTCCACTTGTTACTGTTCGCCAGTCCGACTTCTCGCCCCTTACCGTAACTCTTTGGCTCCTTCCTGTTAGGTAGTTCCTTATCCATTCTAGGACCTTTCCCCCCACCCCCGCCTGCCTCTCGAGCTTGAACAGCAGTCTCATGTGCGGTACTGTATCAAAGGCTTTTTGGCAGTCCAGAAATATGCAGTCTGCCCAACCATCTCTGTCCTGTCTTATCCTCGTTATTTTATCATAGAATTCCAGAAGGTTTGTTAGGCACGATTTCCCTGTCCAGAACCCATATTGATGTTTGTTCACAAACCTAATGTTCTCCAGGTGTGCAACCAGTCGTAGCCTAATTATTCTTTCCAGTATTTTACAGGGGATGCTTGTCAGTGATACAGGTCTGTAGTTAAGTGCCTCCTCCCTATCTCCTTTCTTGAAGATCGGCACGACATTTGCCTTCTTCCAGCAACTGGGCAATTCTCCTGACATAAGTGACTCATTAAAGATCATTGCCAGAGGCACGCTGAGGGCCTGTGCTGCTTCTTTTAGTATCCACGGTGATACTTTGTCTGGTCCAACTGCTTTAGTTGCATCTAGAGTTGTCAACTGTTTCATTACCTCCTCTGCTGTCACCTCTATATCTGATAGTCTTTCATCTAGGGTAACCCCTTCCAACAATGGGAGCTGCTCAGGCTCGGTAGTGAACACTCCATGGAAACTGGCATTCAGTGCCTCGCAGATTTCCTTGTCACTTTCAGTATATGCCCCCTCTGTCTTCCTTAGTCTTGTCACTTGGTCGTTCACCGACATTTTTCTTCTTATATGACTGTGTAGTAACTTAGGTTGTTTTTTCGCTTTGATTGCAATATCGTTCTCATAGTCCCTTTCCGATGTTCGTCTTATGTTAATGTAATCGTTCCTAGCTCTGTTGTATCTGCTTCTGTTGTCCTCTGTTCTTTGTCTTCTGTACTTCCTCCACTCCCGCCTGCTGGCCATTTTTGCTTCCTGACACTGTCTATTAAACCATGGGTTATTATATTCCTTCTTATTTTTTCTCTTTACCGTTGGTATAAATCTCTCTTCGGCCTCCTGGCATTTCTGTATGACTAGGTCCATCATATCTTGGACTGTTTTTCCTCTAATTTCTTCCTCCCACTGCACTTCACCCAGATAGTCCCTTATCCTCATATAGTCCCCTTTCCTGTAGTCAGCTCTCCTTTCCCAGATCACTTGTCCCATGGTCATAATTTTGAATTCCATCATGTAGTCAAAGACTAGGACACAATGGTCACTGGCCCCTAGAGGTATTTCATGCTCTAAATTCTCGATATCTTCTACGTTCTGGGTGAAAATCAGGTCTAATAGGCTCGGTGCATCTCCTCCTCTTTCCCTTGTGTCTTCCTTCACATGTTGTGTCAGGAAATTCCTGTCTATAACATCTACTAATTTTGCTCCCCACGTTTCATCCCCTCCATGGGGATTCCTTGATTCCCAATTTATCTCTCCATGATTTAGGTCCCCCATGATCAGCAGCTTCGCTCTCATTCTGTGGGCTAGTGTTGCTGCCTTCTGCAGTTCATCTATACATGCTTTGTTGTTGTCATCATACTCCTGCCTGGGTCTTCTACTGTTTGGTGGGGGATTGTAGATTACCATGATCACAATCTTCCTCCCATCTACTGTCAGAGTTCCATGTATGAAGCTTGTGCACTCATTGGTAACTCGATTTCCCAGGTCTTCAAACTTCCATTTCCGCTTTATTAGGAGTGCTACTCCCCCTCCCTGTCTCTGTGTCCTCTTTTTGTATCACCTGGGTGTGTGTGTGTGTGTGTGTGTGTGTGTGTGTGTGTGTGTGTGTGTGTGTGTGTGTGTGTGTGTGTGTGTGTGTGTGTGTATAGTCACCTATTTGTGCTTGCGGGGGTTGAGCTTTGGCTCTTTGGTCCCGCCTCTCAACTGTCAATCTACTGGTGTACAGGTTCCTGTGTGTGTGTGTACTCACCTGTGTGTACTCACCTATATGTACTCACCTATATGTGCTTGCAGGATCGAGCATTGACTCTTGGATCCCGCCTTTCGAGCATCGGTTGTTTACAGCAATGACTCCTGTCCCATTTCCCTATCATACCTGGTTTTAAAATTATGAATAGTATTTGCTTCCACAACCTGTTCCTGAAGTGCATTCCATTTCCCCACTACTCTCACGCTAAAAGAAAACTTCCTAACATCTCTGTGACTCATCTGAGTTTCAAGCTTCCATCCATGTCCTCTCGTTCTGTTACTATTCCGTGTGAACATTTCGTCTATGTCCACTCTGTCAATTCCTCTGAGTATCTTATACGTTCCTATCATGTCCCCCCTCTCCCTTCTTCTTTCTAGTGTCGTAAGGCACAGTTCCCTCAGGCGCTCTTCATACCCCATCCCTCGTAGCTCTGGGACGAGTCTCGTTGCAAACCTCTGAACCTTTTCCAGTTTCATTATATGCTTCTTCAGATGGGGACTCCATGATGAGGCGGCATACTCTAAGACTGGCCTTACGTAGGCAGTGTAAAGCGCCCTAAATGCCTCCTTACTTAGGTTTCTGAATGATGTTCTAACTTTTGCCAGTGTAGAGTACGCTGCTGTCGTTATCCTATTAATATGTGCCTCAGGAGATAGATTAGGTGTTACGTCCACCCCCAGGTCTCTTTCACGCGTCGTTACAGGTAGGCTGTTCCCCTTCATTGTGTACTGTCCCTTTGGTCTCCTATCTCCTAGTCCCATTTCCATAACTTTACATTTGCTCGTGTTGAATTCTAGTAGCCATTTCTCTGACCATCTCTGCAATCTGTTCAGGTCCTCTTGGAGGATCCTGCAATCCTCATCTGTCACAACTCTTCTCATCAACTTTGCATCATCCGCAAACATCGACATGTAGGACTCTACGCCTGTAAACATGTCGTTAACATATACAAGAAATAGAATTGGTCCCAGCACCGATCCTTGTGGTACTCCACTTGTTACTGTTCGCCAGTCCGACTTCTCGCCCCTTACCGTAACTCTTTGGCTCCTTCCTGTTAGGTAGTTCCTTATCCATTCTAGGACCTTTCCCCCCACCCCCGCCTGCCTCTCGAGCTTGAACAGCAGTCTCATGTGCGGTACTGTATCAAAGGCTTTTTGGCAGTCCAGAAATATGCAGTCTGCCCAACCATCTCTGTCCTGTCTTATCCTCGTTATTTTATCATAGAATTCCAGAAGGTTTGTTAGGCACGATTTCCCTGTCCAGAACCCATGTTGATGTTTGTTCACAAACCTAATGTTCTCCAGGTGTGCAACCAGTCGCAGCCTAATTATTCTTTCCAGTATTTTACAGGGGATGCTTGTCAGTGATACAGGTCTGTAGTTAAGTGCCTCCTCCCTATCTCCTTTCTTGAAGATCGGCACGACATTTGCCTTCTTCCAGCAACTGGGCAATTCTCCTGACATAAGTGACTCATTAAAGATCATTGCCAGAGGCACGCTGAGGGCCTGTGCTGCTTCTTTTAGTATCCACGGTGATACTTTGTCTGGTCCAACTGCTTTAGTTGCATCTAGAGTTGTCAACTGTTTCATTACCTCCTCTGCTGTCACCTCTATATCTGATAGTCTTTCATCTAGGGTAACCCCTTCCAACAATGGGAGCTGCTCAGGCTCGGTAGTGAACACTCCATGGAAACTGGCATTCAGTGCCTCGCAGATTTCCTTGTCACTTTCAGTATATGCCCCCTCTGTCTTCCTTAGTCTTGTCACTTGGTCGTTCACCGACATTTTTCTTCTTATATGACTGTGTAGTAACTTAGGTTGTTTTTTCGCTTTGATTGCAATATCGTTCTCATAGTCCCTTTCCGATGTTCGTCTTATGTTAATGTAATCGTTCCTAGCTCTGTTGTATCTGCTTCTGTTGTCCTCTGTTCTTTGTCTTCTGTACTTCCTCCACTCCCGTCTGCTGGCCATTTTTGCTTCCTGACACTGTCTATTAAACCATGGGTTATTATATTCCTTCTTATTTTTTCCCTTTACCGTTGGTATAAATCTCTCTTCGGCCTCCTGGCATTTCTGTATGACTAGGTCCATCATATCTTGGACTGTTTTTCCTCTAATTTCTTCCTCCCACTGCACTTCACCCAGATAGTCCCTTATCCTCATATAGTCCCCTTTCCTGTAGTCAGCTCTCCTTTCCCAGATCTCTTGTCCCATGGTCATAATTTTGAATTCCATCATGTAGTCAAAGACTAGGACACAATGGTCACTGGCCCCTAGAGGTATTTCATGCTCTAAATTCTCGATATCTTCTACGTTCTGGGTGAAAATCAGGTCTAATAGGCTCGGTGCATCTCCTCCTCTTTCCCTTGTGTCTTCCTTCACATGTTGTGTCAGGAAATTCCTGTCTATAACATCTACTAATTTTGCTCCCCACGTTTCATCCCCTCCATGGGGATTCCTTGATTCCCAATTTATCTCTCCATGATTTAGGTCCCCCATGATCAGCAGCTTCGCTCTCATTCTGTGGGCTAGTGTTGCTGCCTTCTGCAGTTCATCTATACATGCTTTGTTGTTGTCATCATACTCCTGCCTGGGTCTTCTACTGTTTGGTGGGGGATTGTAGATTACCATGATCACAATCTTCCTCCCATCTACTGTCAGAGTTCCATGTATGAAGCTTGTGCACTCATTGGTAACTCGATTTCCCAGGTCTTCAAACTTCCATTTCCGCTTTATTAGGAGTGCTACTCCCCCTCCCTGTCTCTGTGTCCTCTCTTTTCGTATCACCTGGTACCCTTCAGGAAAGATTGCATCTGAGATCATGTCATTAATTTTAGTTTCCACAATTGCAACTATGTCAGGATCTGCTTCACTCACTCTTTCTTTTATCTCTTCTGCTTTATTAGATACCCCATCAGCATTGGTGTACCAAACCTTGAGATTCTTCATGGAAACTCTTGTACCAGAGTTCTCCCTTTCTCTGGGGGTCTGGGGGGATCTGGGGGATGTCTGGGGGGTGACTGGGGGCAGAGGGGATCTGGGGGATCTGGGGGGTGTCTGGGGGATGACTGGGGGCGGGGAGGGTCCGGGGGATGTCCGGGGGGATCCAGGGGGTGTCTGGGGGGGTCCGGGGGGTGTATGGGGGGTGAAAGAGTTCAGGAGGGGTGCTTGGGGGGCTACTGGGGGTTGGGCTTCTAGGAAGGTAGGTAGGAGGGTCTGGGGTAGGGCCTGGGTAGGTAGGTCTGGAGTAGGAAGGGCATACTGGGTCTGAAGATTAGGGAGGGCATAGAGGGGTTGGGAGATGGCGTAAGGTTGGGAGACAGATAGAGGTTGAGAGGTTGGGAGGGGGATGGATAGAGGGGGTGGGGGGGACCTCCCACCTCCCTCGCAAGGGTGGGGGGTCACATGGAAGGAGAGGGGATGAGGAGGGGTGAGGGCAGGGCAGGCTTTGGGTGTTGAGGGGATGAGGTCTGGGTGGGTTCTTGGGGTTGAGGGGATGAGGTCTGGATGGGATTTGGGGGTTGAGGGGATGAGAGCTGGGTGGGTTTTGGGGGTTGAGGGGACGAGGGCTGGACGGGTTTTGGGGGTTGAGGTGATGAGGGGGTCCTTGGAATGTGGGATGAATTTGACTCCAGTGGGGTCAGAGGGGTCAAGGGATGTGCTGGGGAGATAAGCAGGGGCGGCTGATTTGGGAAAGGGGTGACCTGAGAAGCACGTGTGAGCTGGTTAGCATGGGGTGGATTAGCACTGGGGTGTGTAGCTGCGCTCAAATGGGAAGAGTCGTATTGTTGTTTGCTTGCTCTGTGGGCAATCTGTTCCTCCTTCGTCATGAATTTGTCAATAAATACGTTGTAGTAATTTTCGCTACCTCTGAGTAGGTGTTTGTGATGCAGTATGTAATCCACTGCCTCTTCGTTAGTGAACTGTACCAGGACAGGTCGTTTCCTGTTACAGTTGTATGGTCCAATGCGTCGGTGGACTTGCACCTCATTCCCTGCCATCTGGGCTCTCATGTCTCTCAAGATCCCTGTAGTTCCAAATCCTCAATCTCCATCCTTTCCTGCCTCGATGGTGCCCTGGCTTCAAGTAATCCATGGATTATGATTGTCCTCTTTCTCAGTTCAGGGTCATGCTGGTGGCCCTCTCCCTGGCTGACCCCCACCCCTCCTACACCCGCTACTCCACCTACTCCTACTACTTGTGTGTGTGTGTGTGTGTGTGTGTGTGTGTGTGTGTGTGTGTGTGTGTGTGTGTGTGTGTGTGTGTGTGTGTGTG